CCTCATCCCCTGCACCCCGCTCCTCCCCTCTGTCACCACCAGGTGCCTCAAGGGTTCCTTCTGACACCTGAATCTGGTCATGTTCTTCCCGGTTGAGAACTCTTCAAAGGCTCCTTAGCTCCAACTGTGGGCCAGAGACCCTCCAATCAGAATCTCCTGAGAAATACGTTAAATCATAGGTTCCTGGGCCAGTCCCAGGCTTTCTGTATCACAGTCTTTGGGAACAGAACTCACATTTTCTGTTGGAGAGTCTCAATGGCCTATAGAATTGAAATTCCTTAGTTGGCCTTTTAAAGCCCTTTCATATTCCTTTGACTGCACAGGAAGCTGCCACGTGCCACAGGGCCTTTGCACAGTCGAGCCCCTCTTGGAAGGACTCTACCCTTCTCGCCTTGTCTGCCTGGTGGCCTCTAATTCTTCCATGTAGCCAGGCCCACTCTAGGAAAGGCTTATTGTTAAGTGTTTCATGGACTTGTGTTGGAGTGAGGGGAGGTGCCGCCATGCAGGGGAAGGGAGCTCGGGGTCAGGGTTTCCTCAGGCATGGCCCCTGATCAGCTGTGTGACCATGGGCAAGGGGTTTGACTTCTTTGTGCCTCAGTTTCCCCAGCTGTAATTAAAAGTAATTATTGTGCTTCAACAATAAAATCGTTGCAGGGACTAAAGGAGTTGATATTTGCAAAGCCCTTCAGATGTGCTTGGCACATAGTGCTCCTTATATACGGGGCAGGCAAAAGCAGGTTTATAGTTGTTCATATGGAAAAATACAAGTTAATAAATAATAATACAAGAGTAAACTCTGTTCCTTGTACCCACAACTGTAAACCTACCTCTGCCTACCCTGTATAATTAGTTGCAGTCATGCTCTTGCGCTCTCGCCATGACCATTTAATACTGAACCTCTGCTTTCTTCCACTGTCTCCCTAACTCTTATGCCTTAGCTTTACGTGGTAATACCCTGCAGCCAGTGGTGCGGCCACTGTTGGAGGGTGAGTGTGAGGAAGGCAGAGGGAGGCCTCACGGGAAGGAGGAAGACGGGAGAGGAAGCAAGTATGGAGAGGGGAGGGGAGAGCAAGGGGAAAGCCAGTGACGGATGGGTTCCTAGCGGTGCCGGCTCCGACCGCGGCCCTGCTTGGTCCGGGGACACAGAGGAGGCAGTGACATTCACAGGGGTGTGTGCTACACTCCAGCGCTCTGAGTGTGAGGGCCACAGTGGCGGGAGCCCTGGATCTGCGTGCGGGAGACTGTATGTGTGCGGGAGGGACAGGAGGAGGGAGGCCCCAAAGAGGGAGGTAGCACCGGGCGTTTGGATGGCCTTGACGAATGAGTGGGCGAGTGCAGGAAGGGCTGGCAGGGTGGGCTGGGGTGCCAGTCCCTCCAGGGGGCGAGCAGGGCACCGCGGAGAACATAAACAGTTCTCTGTGAGGGGAGGGGGGCCTGAGGCTGGAAAGAGCCTCTTCGAGGCCTGGACCGCACAGTGACCAGATAGGCATAGCATCCCCTTAAGAGAGGCAGGCAGAGCCGCCAGGAAGGGGCAGGGGGCTGGGCAGAAAGCAGGCAGCAGGAGCTGGCCCCGGACCAGACCTGTTACAGTAGATGATACCCCCAGCTCTTACCCAAAGCAGTGTCTGCGGGTGAGCGAGGCAACCATGCGGAGAGGAGGGAGCCCAGGGCCTGCTTCTGGAGCGAGGGAGACAGTGCCCAGTGGCTGGGACAGGCTCAATAAGACATGGAGGACCTTCAGGGCGAGCAGTCACTCCCGGCCAGTCGGGGTCGCAGGCGTGGGCAGGGTCCCAGGGCAGAGTGCCGGGAAGGAGTGTCAGGCTTTGGAGATGGTAAAGCGGATGAAAAGGCGCCCCGGGTGCCTGACAGGGCAAGCAAAGGCTCAGAGGTGAGGTGATGGGGTGAGTTTGGGAGAGAGTCAGAACCTCCTGGGGTGTAAACTGAGTGACAAGAAATAAGGTGGAGGTCAGAAGATGACAAAGAAGTATGGTCTGAGGCTGTGGCAGCCACTGAAAGCCATCGGGGACCTGCGTGTCCAGGGGGCTGATGTGGAAACGCCCAGGGAGGCTGGAGCATGGTTGGGAGGTGGTGGGTGTGACCCACCTAGCACACCGAAGAGCTTGCCTGAGGCAGGTGGCTTCTGAGGGTGTGGACGAAGCCACCGTGATGAGGGTGGGCCTGGAGGGGGTGGAGGAGCAGAGGATGCATCCTGCTGACCCCACAGGCATGCTGGGCTCCCCGTGTCCTTCAGGATCAGGCTGCCAAGAAGCTGGGTGGTCAGAGCCTGCGGGGTCCCAGGCATCCCTCCCTCTCTGGGAAACACTGCACAGTGATCTCCTTCCTGCCAGGGGTGTTTTAGGGGCAGCTGGCAGAGAAGAAAGGACAGGGGCTGGGGAACGAAAGGGACTGGGGCCCGATGAGTCTGGGCCCTGCTGCTCATGAGCTTGGTGATGTGGGCTGAGCTGCTCACTCCCACTGAATCTTCTCATCTGCAAAACCAGGACACTGTTCACTTCTACCGTGCTGTCGGAGTTGAAGGGCGATGCAAGGAAAACATTTTACTGTGCTTGGCATGAAGATGGGCTCGAGCTTATAGTCCTTGCAGAGCCCTTTCTCCCTAAAGCAAGAGCTCAGTTAATGTTCGCTAAGACGTTGTTGAGATGGGTGGTAGGACAGGTGGGTGGGTGGATAGAAGGAGGGATGGGCGGGTGGACA